GGGGGGGGGGGATGTTCCCCTGGGAGCTCTTCAGGTGACTCATGAAGACTTCAAAAAGGGGTTTTCAGTAACTCACGAAGCACAAGAGAAGCCCGGCCGTTCCTGGGAGCGGTGGCTGAAAGGGTTTACCTGAAAGTGCCGTGGGTTTCAGCCCCCGGGAATGGCAGGCGGGGGGCTGGCTGGCGGGGTGCCCAGAGAGGTTCCTGTGCCCGACTCTGCGCCTCTTCGTTAGCTGAGAGAGAAAATACAAATGTGCAGCCGGTTAATCGCGTGTTTCACCGTGCTTTCAGCGTTCAGTTCAATATTTGGAGGTGGGAAGGAAAAATTTGCATGAATTTGTACCCTTTGTTGTTTTGGTTTTAAATTACAGTTGAGTCAAGGAGGAAAGCAAATGAAGGCCTTACACGTAACTGGTTTTTATGTGGCGGTAGATTATTAAATCATGTTTATGTTGGATTTCTGTAGAAGACAGGGACCTGCTTTACACCTGCTTGTGCCAAGCTTGTGAATGTGAGCTTTCCATACAAAGCCTGATTTACAGTTTAATTTCTACAGCTTAATTTTCAGGTTAATTTTTGTAGCCTCATTACAAAGCATAACATGATGTTTTGGATTTGTTTTCATGCCATAGTTTGTCCAGAAGGTGAATCTGTATCTAAAGAATGGGAGTAAAATTGGTTTTCTAGCAGAAAGGTTATAGCAAAATTATATGGAAAATGGGTAGCTTTCTTTGCTGAGTTGTACGTTATTCAGGACGTGACTGTACTGGGTAGTCCAAATAACACCTGATGAAGTGGTAGTTTTTTAACATCTTGCTTCAATACTATTCAGAAATTGCCTGGCAGGTGAGCCTGAGAGCATAAGTGAATGGAAATGTACTTGGATGATGAGAACAAGATATTTTTCAGTCTTTATGATCCATCTTGCAAGCATGGCTGTAAGACCCAGAGTTCCTCTGAGGCTTATGTACCTCTGTAGATTGTCAGCTCCTGTTTTCATGGCAGCCATCTGAAGAAAATCTTCATATTTAGCTCCTTAAATAGATAACGATCATCTTTGTTTGGATGAAAAAGCAGCACTGTATGCAAGTCACTTCTTTCATTATTTCAGATTGATTCAACTGACTGGAATATGATATTGTGCTTAATGCTAATAAATACTTCTAATCGTTGCCTTTTTAGGATGCAGGTGTATCCCCTGAGAAGGCAGCCACGGATCCCAGCGGTGAAGACAAGAAACTCAACAAATCCCAGCAACTGAAACAAGTTTTTAAGGAATATGGTGCTGTAGGTGTTTCATTCCATGTTGGAATTTCGTTAGTATCTCTAGGAATCTTCTACCTGGCTGTGTCAAGGTGAGGTTTGTACAGTTGTCTGTAGCCTTTAGGTAATGGTTTAGCCAAGAAAGTTATCTTAGTATTGTGCTTGTTTCTAGAAGGAGACATGTACTTTGTGTCTGCTTGATCTATACATAGTAATCTTCTGAATTTTGAGTATAGATGGATCCATAAATGGATCTAATCTCCCATCAGGCATGAGAAAAGATAGATGTACACAGTCTCTTTGCATAGGTTCATGATCCATGGTGGGCAGGTGAAAACAGCAGAGTAGACACTGCACCAGAGTAACTAGCCAGATGAGAGAATTTATTTTTGTTCTGCAGAGATATCTTTTGTTCTCAAACAGTAGTATGGTCTGTAAAGATAAAGCTATAGAAAAGTGCTGGAACTTAGAGATAAATTTATTTTTCTGGGTGTTGAACTCAGTTTCTGCAGTTGAAACTGCAGGAGGCAACAGCCACTAAAACAGGATTAGATTAAAAAAGAAATTATTAGATAACCATATAGGAGCTAGGTGGGAAATTATGTGGCTTCTTGTGGGAATGTATCGGTTACAGATATGTCTGTTGAGCATGAGGCATTTCAACTGAGGAAACAGGGAAACACATTGTTTTTCAAAACATTCCCTGCCACTTGCTCTTGGTTTCAGTGAGAATATGTGAATGCTTGATTTCTCTCATTTACTACATCGTGGCACAGAGTGACAATTAATTTTTTTTCCTTCAGGTATGATTTAACTCCCAGTTACAAGGCACTATACGGGCAAGTGAAGGGGGAAAAGTTTCCAAAAGAAGTTGTTACTGTAAATTACTCCAAACATAGGAACCTTGATGAAAGCTGCTATGGCTATAGAGGATTAAAATATTAATGGATTTGGTGGATAGTGCTTATCTGAGATCCATAATACCTCCTTCACTTCCTAGATTTTTAGATAAGATACTTGTCATTTTATCAGCTTTGTACTCCTCTGTTAGAGCACTCTAAGCCTAACAACAGGTACCTTATTTGGTTTGGGTTGATCTATATTTTTGTGATAAATTTCATCAAGACACAGAATAGACTTTATCGTGAATTTTGGGAAGATGAATTTCCAGCACAAATTCACAAATTTCTAACTTTTTAAACATTCAGAAGTAGAGAAACAGATTATTTTATCAGAAGGTTGAGCATGGTACTGAGTATTCTCCATACGAATGCTGCAGCTTTACAGTTGTAAAACTAAGAACGTATTTGACTTCACAGGGAACTTGTCAGTTTAAGAGGAAAAAAATGTGTAGCTGAAAATACTGCATGTGTTGTTGCTACAGAAGTAACTTGAGCTGTTACTGCTGAAATAATTCATTGCTTTTATTATTTAACATCTATATTTAAACATAAATTCCAGAGTTGGAAGCATGCCATGTTAAATTCCCCCCAAAATAGCACTTTTAATTTATATTCTGTAACATGCAACCTTAAAATATACTAAAAAATCTTGTTTTCTTTTTCCCCCAGTGGTGTGGATATGACTGCAGTTCTCTTCAAACTGGGTTTCAGTGAATCATCGTTGCAATCTAAAATGGCTGCTGGTACAAGCACATTTGTGTTGGCATATGCTATTCACAAATTGTTTGCGCCGGTACGAATCAGCATTACTATAGTTTCTGTGCCATTTATTGTCCGATACTGCCGGAAGATTGGTTTCTTCAAACCTCCTGCCCCAAATCCATGATGATTTCTTACTGGTTTTTACTGTTTCTTTTTTTTGTTCGTTTGTTTTTTTTTAAATGCTCTATATCCATGTAGCTTTTCAGATTCCTAAATTTCTTTGGAAAATTATTAGGTTTCATGTTAATGCGGACCTCTCGTATTTCTTACTTGTTCTTTCAGGTAAATGTTACACTGTGAAAAGTGCTGTCCTTATCTTATTTCCCTTTTGCCACTTCTTCTTTAGAAAAACCTGTTAAAATGGTATCTCATTTCCACTGCAAGTGGTAACATAAATGCTTGACAATGAGGAGTCTCTTTAGAACATTCAGTTCTGGGTCTATAATCTAGCTTTTTGGGCCTTAATTGTTTTCTTGTCAAACTAGAGTGGCAGCATTAGCTTATTACAGTGTAGTTGGGAAAGAGAGTAAGATTCTCTTCCTAATAGTCTGTGGAATAAACAATATCCTACTATATGAATAGTTCTTTTGGTAAGTGTACATATTGGAATCTAAGGTGGCAGATGGGTGTTTCTTTTATAAAAGGCATAGATGGGTGTTTCTTTTATAAAAGGCATATATTGTGACCCCCGTCTTGCAATGCAACACACATGCTGAGCTAACTGAAGTGGGAGTACCTGTATGCTTAATTATTGCACAGGGATAGGGGGTTTTTTTAGCCAGAATAGGTGATGCACTGTTCTGAAACTATAGCTCCTTTGTGGTGCTTGCATATTTCAAGATTTCATTGTTTGAAAATGCGCTTTATAGGCTAGGAACTGGCCTTACTAAAGTCCTTTTTAATTTTTTTTTTATGCCTATAGACTCAGAACAAATCCTGAGTCTAACGAAATCAGTGTAACCAGAATTACCTCCTATGTGAACATATTCCAAAGATCATCAAGTCAGAGGCAAGGTATCTGGGTTTTTGATGTATTGAGATCTGGCTTTGTACTGGACACATATTTTTATCTGAAAACTAACCCTAGCAGCTTTCTGCTCCTGTGGATGAAACTCAGATCTGCGGACACTACAATTCATAGCTTCACCAGAACAATGCTTTTGTCTGACAGACTGTTGAATGTACCAATTAGAGGTGCTTTTAATTTCCTTATCTGGACACTATTCCGATTAGGACGTAGTTGCACATGCATGTATTCACATACCACCTTTCGTTCACCTAAAGACTGGATCCCAAAACTAGGTAGTCAGCGTAACATTCTGGTAAACCTGGGTTTCAGACTTAGAACTGTGCTTCTGTGAGATAGCTCGAGCCAGACCTGTCAGTCTTTTGGACCTGTTCCTCCTTCCAGTTCTGTTCTTTTTATATTGTCTTTCTGTCTTTGTGCTTACATTTACCCCAAGGTGGCTCTGACACAGATCTGTTCATACAGGAATCTGATTAAAGTGAAATAGCAGGAAATTACCCAGGTGATCAGAGTAATTTCTTTTTTCCTCTGAAATTTAGTGAATTCAGAGGAAGGAATCATGTGGTTAGGATGAGAGTTGGCTGAGGTAGGGAAGGAGGAGTGAATAATTTCTTCTTGTTACGAGCAACCTATTAACTCCACTCAGCCATAACATTAAATTGCACCCTAACTCCTTTCCTGTTCAGAAAGTCCAATGGATGCTCAGAGGATTCTCAGGCTCACAAATGAGCAAGCAGTTTGTGCTCTAGGAAGATGAGGCACAGCCACATATATCCTTGTACCTCTGTATTATTGCTACCACTTGGTTAATCAGAGGTCTTGTCTAAGACAGGGAAAACTGAAAGATGTGTAGTTTACTTCCTCTGCCCTGTGGAAGCAAGATGTTACAAGAGACTGCCACCTGAAAACAAAGAATCCCTTGGCAAGGGCTTGGTCTCAGTGGGGCTGTGCTCTTAGCCCACATGAGGGGTTAGGGTCTTAAGGTGGAAACAGTTGCAGCAGTGAGCAGGTACACTGCTAGAGGCTTGATGCACAATACAAACATAGCATAATATAAAGATGCATTACGTAGTTAAAAATACCTGCTCGAAATACCATCCTTAGGAGCAGGACATACTGCAAATCAGCCTCAGAGCATGGCCTGCTTCCATGGGAGCTGTAAGCAGTGTCACTAACAGTTTGTCACGCACAGCTGCTTGGCTTGGCTTGTGTGTTAAATGTGGAGCCAATGCTCTGCTGCATCATGTACCTATGTGTGCAGGAGGAATGGCTGTCATGTTCATTTTGACTAGCTGCTTATTAAAAAAAAAATAACAAACTGGATTTTTCATGTTTCAGGCCTGCTTGGCTGTATGGCTGCTGAAGCTGGCAGCTCATCCAGGGTACTAGCTTCAGCTTGCTGCTGTCTGAGCCAGCTCTAATTAGAGCCTAAGTTTCAAACCAGCTTGTCCCTTGAGGAAGCTCTGCCTTTACCCTTAACTAATCCATGTGATTATTGTATCTGTTACATGGATGGAAGCTTATTGTGAGTAGTAGGTAGGTAAAAACAGCAGTATCTACACAGCAGTTGAAGGATTACCATGGTAGGGCAACGTGCAACCAGCACTACTGTAGCTTTCTATGACCTACTACATTCTAGAACAGCTAGTCTTTTCCATTTCAAGTGAGCAGTCAGCATTTCTTACTATTAAGTTTTACTAGACTTTTTTTTTTTCCTGTTCACAGAAGCCTTTCTGCATTTTTTGCTATGTGCCCACTCTCTCTGTAGCAGTTCAGGGCAATGTTCTATTACCAAGGATAACAGAAGAATTCCAGAATAATCATGAGGCATCCTTGTTTTCTTCATTTAATCAGTCATTTCTGATAAGTATGTTTTGTCCTTAAGTTGACAGAAAATGAATATTAAAGCTTTTTCTTTCTCAAACAGATCTTTCTGTAAAGCAGGAATCACGTAAAGCAAATGCACCTAAGAGTTAAGTCACCAGCACTAACTAGACTTTCTTGCAGTAAAGAAGGAGAGCTTCATTTAAATTATGACCACAATACAGATTACCTATTATGGTTGTATAAACTACTGGCAGTTTGTTTAGATGAGTTTTTGGCAGAGTATATTTTAAATTAATTTGAGAGTATATTTTGAATTCTAGAATCCTTGCTTGTTAAAGGATCCTTTTTTAAAGTGGTTTGTAAAACAGGGAAGATGACCATAAAGTCTTACAATGAAAATACAATAAATTGCTTTCTTTTAGTTTGCTTGAAGTGTTTTACTGGAAAATAGTTGGTTTGTATATTTTCTTTTTGAGTGGCCTGACCCTTACTACATTTTAGGGAATAATATCTTAAAACACTAGATATTAATGTTAATTTCTGCTACGTATCCCATTTGATAACAATACTTGCCAGACATTTCTTAGAAGTGCTTTCAGACTATCTTGTATTTGAATAGCTGCTTAAAAAAAAAAAAAAAGGGAAGAAGCAGGCCTGGGTTTCAAGGGTTGTAGAAAACATACAAGGTAAGTAGCAACACATTTGGTACTTGGAATCCTGTGTTGAGATTTTAGAATAGTAAGTGACCACACCTAGCTTGTCATGCCAACACTTGGAGCAAATCTTTATACCGGCTTCCTTTTTGACAGAGGGGGGAAGTAAACTTTTGTGATCGCAGCCAAGAAGTCAAGCTGTACTGATGGTAAGGAGAAATGGTTAGAGATAGCCCGTGGAAGTGACAAGCACCATAAGGAACCTTACCATGCTGATGGCAGTATATAACAAGTATTTATTTGAAAAGTTGAATGCTCACATTTAAGACAAAATAGACAAAAATGCAGACATCATTTTCAGGACACTTAAGAGAAATGCATTTATCTCACTCAGTTTCAGATTACACAACAGCGATGATACCCTTAGCAGCCCAGTAAGTCAGGAGGCAGGTATCTCCGGGATATTGCACTGTTCAATAAGCTAGAACCACAACTTCCTCTTGTTGGAACAATGAACCATTACCAGGACAGACCACATCATAAGAGCCTTGAACAGCTTAATACTTAAAATCAACAAGCCTGGCCTACACGTAACTGGATTTCAAGTATATTAAGTATTTCACAACCTCCAGCTAATAGTCAAATAATTTTACATTGCAATTAGAGTTTAAAACGATGGTCAACTCAAAGATTTGCATTCCATTTGCCATTGGATTCCAAGACCTGCTTTTCCTAATGTAATTATTACAGCAGTCACAGTACAAGACTCCTTTTGTTGATCCCAACAAGGTTACCCCTGCTAAGACTGTGTTCTGGATGAGGCAGCAACATCACTCTTTGTGCTCTCAGGCATCTTTGTAGAGTTTGCTGTAATCCATGGATGAAGTAGTACATCCTTCAGGGGCAATCGATGGAATGGGTTATGCTTCAGAAGCTTTGAAATTAAATCCCTTGCACCTTCTGATACAAATGGAGGAAACTTGAATTCCACCTAAAGAAAAGGAAGGACACTAAGGATGATGCAGATATTCTTTGGTAATAACAAAACTAGAGAGACAAGGGACTCCAAGGTACATGTAATAAGGAAAGCTGCATGAGACTTGTGGGCTATGCACCTTGTGCCTATTCAGTAACTAATTTCATTGTAATTGTGATGAAAAGAAGGTTCTTGCTGCTGGTAGAAATTAAGCTAGTGTATTTTCCAGTGTACTTCAAAAAAAGATTAGTTTGCTGGAACTTTTCTAGGGTATGCAACAGGAGATGTATTTTTAGTAACACCTTGAATGTTAAATACCCATTTTATAAATTAGAAGAGAAAGATGTGGAGAAGATTAGTTGCTTTATGAGAGAGCTAGGAGTTCAGATGCAGGCAGAAACAGGGTAGAACCAAGGAATTCAGGCAAGTTGTCTTAAGGTCTCTTATATTCATTCACTAAATGAAGGCAGTTTTAAAGATCTAGTTTTATGTATATCATTATGTCTTCCTACAGTTCTACTTATAGTACATGCACTTCAAGATTATTGTTAAAGCTTCAATACAACAACAAAACTGAAAGGCAGCACACTTCAGCTAGTCCAAGTAAGTGTTGACACATACCCTGGAAATAGCCCTGTACG